CCTTTAAACCTGAAAACACATGAAAGTAGCTTAAAAGACTACTTTAACGAATAAAACATAACAAAAATGCATAAGAACTAGCTAACTAAGGCGCATAAATATGCTCCTATCAAATAGGCACATAAACAGCACAACCAAAAACTTGTAAATGTGAAATGTTTGGTTGATCTCTAAACACGAGTTGTACTTGAGAGTATTGGTGGTTGGCTATAAGTCTCAATCGAACCAATGATATAGCATGTAAAATGGTATGTCCCTATGCAGAAACTGACAATTTTGTTTTGATGAGTAGAGTGCGAGCTATTAATTGAAGTCGCTTGATCAATGCTTATGCTAAACCATTTTGAGTATGGACATGAGGAACATGGTGTTCAAGATCAATGTCCAATGTCATGCAGTAATCATCAAAGGTTTGAGACATAAATTCACCAGCATTATCAAGTCGAATTGACTTAATGGGGTAATCTGGGAACTATGCTCACAACTTGATTATCTGAGTAAGAAGTCTCGCAAAAGCTACATTTCGAGTAGATAAGAAACAAACATGTGACCATCGAGTACATGCATCAACCAAAACCATAAAATATTGAAATGGTCCACAAGATGGTTGAATAGGTCCACAAATGTCCCCTTGAATTCTTTGCAAAAATGATGGGGATTTAGCATCAACCTTTAGTTGTGATGGTCTAATTATTAACTTCCCTTGAGAACAAGTCTTGCAAGGGTTATCATTTGAGATAACAATGTCTCTGCTCAATAATGGATGTCCATTAGAGTTGGTAATGATCATACGCATCATGGTGGATCCTAGATGACTCAAATGGTCATGCTAAAGCATGTAATCTTTTGAATCAATGAACTTTTGATTCATGACAGCATATGATTCAATTGTCCTTATGTATGTATAATACAATCTACTCGACAAACCACACAACTTCTTCAATATACGCTTTTGGGTATCATTAAAGGTAATGCATAGATACTCCACATTTTCTATACTTTTCGTTTCAATACGATATCCACTTAAACGTATGTCTTTGAAACTTAACAAATTTCGAGTAGATCGAGTAGCATACAATACATTCTATATGGACAATATTATTCCATTTAGTAACATAATCTGGGTTTTCCCTGAGCCTTCAATTACATCTGATTGACCTGATATTATTGTTACCCTTACTTTTGTAACCATCAAGTTTGAGAAATACTTTCGATCACGAAGTATTGTATGTGTGGTTGTGTTGTCTGTAAGACAAATATTTCCGCCATTTCTCATGTTTTGAGAATAACCATAGCTTTTATCCATGCTTTCTGAGTAAAGGGAATCACGGTTAAAAACAACTTAGAAATTCAAATGCCTCTTTTATTGAAATTCAAGTTTTTAAACTACAAGTTCAAAATAATAAAAGTACATCAAATATAAATGATTCACTCGGACCGATACACTTCATTCCTCATTTCCACAATGAAGTCCAAGACATCTAAGTGGGTTGTGTTCAACCGGCCTGATAAGTCGCACACTGGATTAGGTATATCCATTGGTCTAGCCTGGTCGAGTAAATTAGTCTCGACACCCTTCTCCTTGAAGGAGGCTTGATATAGATCCACCAGATGTTTTGGGGTACGAAAGGTACGTGCCCAATGCCCATCGCCACCACACCTATGACATGCTCCATCATAGTTTCTAAGAGTATTGTTCATACAAGCTTTGCCTTTGTGGCGATTTCTATTTTTAAAGATTGGACCTGAATTTTACCTTAGAATCTGGTTGTGAAATTGACCACCATGATTCTTAACTTTCCTGCTCCACCGGCCTCGCTTATGACCATGTCTTCATTTATGATTATTGCCACAAAGGATGTTGCGTTTGCTTCGAGGGAAACAACATTCATTTCTGGGAATGCTTTAGATCCAGTAGGTAGGAACTGCTGATTTTTCATTAGTAGCTTATGGTTTTGTTCAACTACCAAGAGCACAGATATCAGCTGGTTGTATTCAATGAAGCCTCACGCTCTATACTGCTGCTGTATGAGCACGATAGAGGCATGAAATGTGCTGAAAGTCCTTTCCAGCATATCTTCCTCAGTAATGGTATTCCCACATAGCTTCATCTAAGAGGTAATTTTGAACAACGCAGAATTGTACTTAACCACTGAATTGAAATCCTGGATCCTTAGGTGAGTCCATTCATAGCGAGCCATTGGAAGAATCACAGTTGTCCGGCGATTGTATCTGTTTCTCAATGCCTTCCGGAGAGCTAACAGATCTTCAACCGTTAAGTACTCACTCTTTAGTCCCTCATCAAGATGGCGACGAATAGAGATTATGACCTTCACCCGATCTTGAGAGGATGAGATGTTTTCTTCCCTAATGGTATCTCTAAGATTCCCTGCTTCCAGATGGATCTTGGTATTCAGTATCCAGGTAAGGTAATTATTCCCAGTAATGTCCAGGGAAGAAAAATCAAGTTTTGCCAAGTTCGCTATTTTCTTTTCTTTTTGAAAGAAAAGTGAGATGCGTAAGAACTTGCAATAATATGTATTCCTAGACGAATAGTGTTAGAACTTCTGGTTCTTACAAATTTTCATTTTGATTTTCAGGCCAAAATTGATAAGCACTCGAAATTTCAAGTTTGAGATTTTCATGATTAATGAGAAGGGCGATTGTACCGCATCATTCTCATTAAAACAAGTATAGGATGGACGATTATTCCGCACCACTTGAACAGCAGGAAAATTTAAATATGCACAGTAGTTTAAATATGCAAGGCAGGGTAAGCGATGATACCACACCACCTAAAATTGTGATAAAATTATGCAGAGTAAGATATAATCAATTTGAATATGCAGAGCAAGGCGGACGATTATACCGCACTACCTAAAATTTGTAGTAAAATTAAATCTGCAGCTCAAGATCGATGATTGTACCGCACCATTTTTTATCGGAGTGAAAATTAAATTTGCAGTTCAAGATGGGCGATTGTACCGCACCATCTTTGATTACAGTAAAACTAATATAAATAAACACTAGGTTAGAAACCAGGAATTGCACTAAACAAGAAATCAAAGATATAAGTAACTGTTAAATTTAGAACAAGAAGCAGACATGGTGCTAGCAATTTATCACGATGATGCATCACGCAGTTGAAGCAGAAGAAGAAGAAAAATAGGAAAAACCTTAAAGATAGCATTTTTTTTTTCCTTTCAGTGAAAGGAGATGTGAACTATTTAAGGTTAGAGAGTCGTATTGGTAACGTGTTATAAATAATAGGTAAAAGTTATAGAGATAACCTTTCTAAGGACATGAGCGAAGTAGGTGCAAAATATCACATTATAACTTTAGCAGTTATAACACAAAAAGGATGACAAATAAAGAGAGGGAGTGATACTGATATTATTTCTCTTGCTCTCTTTTGCAGTGCATTTGATAACAGACGAAATGCTCTATTTATAGAGAGACTCCCGTAATTACAACCATCCACAAAACAATGATGATACTTTTGAAAGTATCAAACACTATTCCTAAGTCTTGTTCTTTTTAAGTGGACATTCATTCATCCATCAACCCATCAATTTTACAACATTAGTAAGTATAAATCTTTTTTCTCATAACAATAAATTATCAAATGAAAACATTAGAGTAATGATGAATTCATTTTATATAAGTTATTTTTATGATGAAGTTGAATTTATGACATAAGATACTGAAAGGAGAAGTTAGCAGCCGGTTCACACTGCGCACATCCACTTTTATTTTATTATTTTCTTTTCTACCATACAATTATTAAACGTGAAACATGGAACATCCATGATGTAAAACATTGTATCTAGATTGTTACTCAAATATCAATCACATTAATCCGAAGTCCTCCAATTTGTTTGACTTGGGTCCAATTAAGATGGCTAGTACCTTTTTTTCTCCTTTCTTTTGTCATCATCTTAAGTGTCTCATCTTTGATGGTTAGGTTTAATTTCGATTTTGTTCGATTCGACTCAACTATATTAAGAAGTCGACACTTAAAAAATCATGATTTATGGATTTTAGAAAGAAAAAAAAAAATTCATTAAATATAAGTCTTCAGTGCATCATATGATCAAAGTTTAACATTGTCCATTTGTCTTGTTCTTATTTTATTTTTCTGGTCAAGCTGCCTTGTTCTTGTTGGATTTGCCTAATTGATGCATTTTTAAATTGACACAATACTTTAAATAAAATTTTAAGATATTTCCTAAAAACTTCCAAAAAATTTGTTATAATACGATCCACCAAAAAAGATTCTTAGTGGGGGATTATGTAATTGATTCAATTATGGAATCGTGAATAATCATCGATTCAGTCGGTACATAATAGTTTATACTTTTTTCTTTTTGATGGATTATCCTAGTGAATAAAGTTTATTTTTCAACTCACTGTTCTGAGCTCAAACAATATCATCTCTAGATTTATACCGCCTATAATAAAGAGATACTTTGTGCCCCATCCACGAAGTTCATGTTTATGATTAAAACTATTTATATTATAAATCACTCTATAAGATCATCACTGCAAAAGATATCTTGCGAAGGAGTTCATCCTCAATCATTGAGGTGCCAAGTCTTTTCCTAATAAAAATAAAAAGGAAAAAGGGACTCCACATTTCGTGTTTGGCAAAGTGATCCTTGGCTTTCAAAGGTTTTGATGTTATGGAAAAATTGCATTAAGTTATGAGTGAGTGTGATATCAATATATTCAAGTCGTATAAAAATTACACTCTTAATATGAATTGGAAAATTTGAGTTTGACACCAATATTATATTCATAAGTTAAATATATGAACTCACATCAGTGTAGCACTGGTGTTATTGGTATCAAATTCCTATATATAACACTAGTCTCAGTCTCTGGGTTTTGTTTTTTGCCGAAAACACAAGAAAATTATTATTAGCACACCAAAATAGGAAACCGCAGAACAACTATTTTGAAGCACTAATAACAGCTCCCAAAAACAACAGCAGAGAAAGTATTGTAAAGTAGCAATTGATAATTAAGCAAACCATCAGTATTTATGTAAATTACAAAGCTGGGCAAAAAGGAAGAGAAGAAAGTGTTTTTTTTTTGGGTTTTCTTGGTCAATCATACAAACCATCTTGCTCCCAAATATCGACGAGAAAATCGATCATTTCCTGTTTTTTTAATTTAAGAAATAGTCAGAATGACAATGTTGCGGTGGAGTAGCAATAGAGGAAAAAAGTGTGGAGCCATGTCAACTTACAGGAAGAGGGATCGGCTGGCGAAAAGGCTTGTTGGTACTGAGTAAGCTCTCGTAAGTGGCGTTCCAACTACAAAACACAGTAACCGATCATCAGCGAAAAATTTGATAATTCAACCACAAGGAACAAATAATTGCGTAGGGGAAAACTGCATTACAATCCAGGGTGCAAACAAGAGAGAAGTTAAAATCAGGTGAAGTTGAGTAAGTGGTGAAGTTGGTAAATCAGGGCACATATTTCTACATGCTTTGAAGTGTTGGCTTACACTTTTAAGTGTTAAGGTTGACCAGTTCGGAGATGATTTAATGAAATATCAGCGAGAGGTGCAGGGAAAATGATGCTTGTATAATTATGTCCCTACATCAATTCAAATGCTTCTGGTATCACATGCAATAAAAAATTCACCTTATTCTGGGTTCTCGAAGTTGTGTCTGGCGTTGAGGCTGTTTATTTGCAAGCCACAGATTCCTCGTCTGGTTCCAGAGTAAAAGACCTGAATCCATTTAAATTTTCAATGTTAAAAGTTTAGTTTGACAGAACAATTCGATTTAGAGGCACTGTAAAACAATAAAACGATTCCAGACAATAGTAAAGCCACATAGTTCCAGAAAAGCACTGCAAAACCTTTGATTCATTGCTTACACTTTGCTGGTCTAAAATATTACAGATTTGATAATATGGCAGCATCAACACAAGGCTAAACTTCTATTTTTCGCAAAGAAAGCACTAAAATCAATCAAAGCAATGATGACAAAAAATAAAATAAAATGGTTATGTGGATCAAACTTTCGTAAATATCCACCGTTGTCTTCTCTTTTGTTGTTGAAGATAAAAGAAAATGTGCATGGATATCAGTCAACATGGTGTGCCCACAAAAAGCACACTGAAGAGAAAGAGACAGAGAGAGAACTTGCCATGATTTACAAATTCAGGTGCACTGCTTGTGCTGCCAGAAGTACCGTGGGAATCAAGGGGGTTTGAAGTGCTAATTGATGAGATGCTTTTCTGAAACTGGATTCCATTGTTCTCCATTTCAACTGTGCTAGTGCTCCAGAAATCCTCTGATATGCTATTTTTTCTCACTGATTGACCTTGAATTCTCAGTCCGTTTGATGGCTCGTCGACAGGAATAAGTAGTCGGGGTTGGCTACAGCATCCAAGACAGCCTCTGCTCTGTTACAAATTAGGTTGACCGTTGAAGTAACCACAAAAAATGATTATTGCTACAACTATCAACTTGAGTGGCGATACAAAAATTTTAAGACAAACCGTAACAAATAAAGAAAATTGAAAATTAATAAACACGGGCTTATATAATCAGCATACAAAAATTCTTTGGGATCTCTCTAAGTCCCCACACCCCAGAAACAGATAAAATAAGGAAACGATAAAAACGCAAATGCATACATTTCCCCATGATTTAGAACTGTACAATCTTCAACTTAATGAAACTTCCACCTATAATCAAATCAGCTTTCTTTTTCGAGTAAACTAGACAGAACCTTACAAGAACAAATGATGCAAGCTCCTAAACATGCATTCTCACAAAAAAGGTTTGAATTGCTGTCAAAGTTAAATCATAGTCTGCATAAGAAAAGCAATAAATGCAGGTAGAAAATAATGAGGCAATGTCCCATAAGAAACATTCAACAATAATGGAAATACACTGCCATGCATGAATTAAGCCCTGTCATTATCCACAGGCGAAAATATCAACGCAATGATACCGAATTCAACCATTGCAACAAATAAAGCCTATGAGTTAAACTCACACATGAGAAAATAACTTAGCCACTCAAACTCACGCCACCAGATCCAAGTTCAACAAACACCACACTTCACAGACAGTACTGACAACCCAATTGTGAAAAACTCTTATAACAAGAACAAGGCACTACCATTCCCCGGAGTAGAAATTCATTACAAATAAATTGTTTATGTATGAAAAAGAACGAAATTGCTTCCCTTACTCTGAAAAGAGCCTTGCATTTCCTATGGATTTTCTCCATAACTACAACCACAAAAGCTCGAAAGCAAGCACTGGAAAACACAAAAAATGAACAGCACAATTTCTTCTCAAAGCATCTCGCTGTCTGAGACCAAAAACAACACCTAGAATACATATTTCCTACAGAACTCCATGCGAAGGGAAACCGAAGAATATAACTACCAAATGCCCAAGGCTTGAAGCAAAGAATGCCAAATAAAAAGCTAAAAACATGTTTCATGTTCATTCACTCTCAAAATCGCTTAACGAACAAGTAAACCAAAGTATCAAGATTCTAAAACAAAGTTAAAGGAACAAGCTTGAGCTACAGAAGAAACATGAAGCCCTCGTTTAGTCATCCAGAAAGCATGGGGAAAAACAAATTAAAAACACCAAATATCCACTTTTAAATCTTCTTTTTTTCCTGTGATGTCAACATCCCAAAAAGAGCAAAATCAATTTTACTACACCGACGAGTTGCATATCCAATTTCAGCTTAGATTTCAATTTCTAGAGTCTCAATACTTGGAAAGACAAAATCTCATGACATGTGGAGTCTCACTTTTTTTATTCTTCCCTTTGTTTCTTACAACGATTCAAGTTTTCAAATTTTTCTTCATTTCCCTTAATTTTCTCAGGAAACAAAAAGAACCCACAACTTTTTGAGAAAAAAATTAACTTAAAGAAAAAGAAACTCACCCCATGCATGTGAAAATGGCAGAGCCCCAAGAGGGAAGATATCTACAAGTGGCCAAGCTCAAACTTGCCCACCAAAACCCTAAATCCATGAAGGAGAAAGACAAACCTCACGATCCTGCATAATCTCATACAATTACAGCTGTTTTTTCGGAGCAATTTAATTTGAATTAATCCACAATTTAATTTAGCAAAATTCATATGCAATCACTAAGATTCATGTTTCTGATTGATTCCCAGGGAAAAAAAATACATTAAAATAAAAAAAAAGGAAAATGATTCCGATCACTTTGTTTTTTTTTTTTTTTTTAAAAAAACAAAATTTTAATTCTGCACTTTTTAATTTAATTTAATAATAATGAACCTGAAGGATGGCATGGTTGGATTTGAAATTGGGTATAGGTCAGGTTCTTCTCTCCTTCATGAAACAGATGGCCCTCTGGTTGGCTTCTGATTCAACCTAAGGGGCACACTTTTTTTGTTCTTCAACTCCTTCCCCCCTTCTCTCCTCTTTCCTTCTTGCTGTTTTATTTTCTCAACACCTTTTTTGTGTGTTTTGTGATTATTAGTTTATTTATTGGGAGGTGGGAGGCAAAACCAACGGGTACAACCACTTTTTGCTGTTTAAATTTGGAGAGATTAATTTGTTGAATCATGTAAAAATGGAACGTTGAAAATTTGATAAAATAAAATACAATATATAATGAATGTTTTTATAGTTAATTGTATTGAACTGTCGTGGTGTATAATAGAATTACAAAACATCGCATTGTTTATGTGATAATAATATGTAATTTGAGGATTATATCTATAATCATTAGTCGTGAACCGCTGATCAGTATCTATGAAGTCCTTACCTAACTATTGTTTTTGGTTTGCTTGTCAAGAAAACTTATTTGCTTTTTTGGGTTGTTTTGTTACATTTCCTTCTTGTGGGTTATAACCATTTGTATGAAATTTTAAGAAGGTGTTGGTGTTGGAGGGGTCCATTCTAGTGTGACGGAATCCATCAATCATGTTATCATCATTCAATTAGCATCATTTTAAATCATTTTCTTGTTGAGGTACATGGTTAGATAACTTTTGTTAATTGTAATTGGATTTGGGTAAAAAGAACTCAATTATTTAATTGCCACCTCACTCCCCATTTGTTTGTGGGTCTCGTGTAGAAAATGTATAATTATTATTTTTATGGTTACCCAAAAAAAATACACACACATATATACATGTATAAGTAACGTTAGGTAGACTAAATTTGTAAATAATATGTCTAATAAGAAAGAAGCATGTTAATCAACACTTAAGTAATAATTTAATCAGCAACTTCCGTATCATTTAGTTTATAAAATTTTATCTACACATTTAGTCTTCCTTAACATTCTGAGATTTGATTTGATTTGGATGAATCAGAATATTGACTTTATGGATTGAAGTGGATGAGGCGAAAAAAAGGGTACCAACTAATCTACAATTCTGTATATAACACGAAAAAACTCTTTTTAGATGTATCAGTTTTAAAACTATTAGGTGATAGCAAACAGCTACTGCCGTAATGTCTTTTTTGGTGAGGTCATATGGAGAAATTCTAAGGTATGACCGGGACAACATGCCATCCCTCGTTAATGTGTTCTTGCAACCGCAATCAAGAATTTCTCCCTCATGAGCATACACCATGTACTCTATTGCCTAATAAAAGGATCACTTTTATGGCTGATTGTCCCCTGCATTTGCATTATTGGCTAGGAAGAACTGAAAAATTAATGGACGCTTTGGACTTTGTTAAGAGACGCAATGCAGTATGATAGTTGATGGACATTAAACTTTTATTTGGATAATATCTGCATATGTTTATGTACACATTAGGAACTAATATTGTGAGTGATTGTAGCTAGGTTTTACATTCAAATTATTCAACCACAAACTAGACTTTCTAAGTAAACACAACAACTAGGCGGTGAGGATTGGATGAATGTACTTGGATTTGGTGCTGAAAACTCTAGCCTTGGTATTGGGGAAATATTCAAAGCCCGGCAGTGTTGTTAGAGCTCTATTCTTGCTTACCTTAATGGGGTAGTGGAGAAGATGACCTGGAAGGTCTTGATAACAAGTGTCGCTCGAGTAAAATTCCCAGTTCTTTTCTGCAATCTGGTATACACGTCGAATGCATTCCAAAGATTCTAGATCCCAGAAGGTGTTGTCATCCACTTCGAGGTGCTCATACTAGAGTGCTAGTCTGAAAGCATAAATCTGGCCCTTGGTTGGGATTGTGGAAGCTAAATGGTTAAGTTGGAATGCTCCTATAGCAATCTCAGAGTCCCTTGCCCCATCCATTGACCTTTGTTTTATGTGTTGCAGACCCAATGATTATGTATTCATCACCAACTGAAAGGAAAAAAAAAAAAACATGTTAGAGAATATTCGTCAAATTGCACTCGAACATGGCTGATAGTCTGGTATAGTATATCTAACATATTATGTTATTAGACTGTGAATTAGGACTGCACATTCTGACATGCTAGTATTAATGTTAACTTTAAATTTATGAGTCTGTTTACCTATCATCATTTTTTAATGCATGTAAAATCATGAAACGTCGGGCCTGTTGACTTCTTTTGTAATCGGTGTCTGGCTCTGGAGTCTCAAGAGGTTTATAATCATCATCCATCTCCATCTTCAGGTTGCCAAGGCAGAAGAATTGAGATAATCCTTAGGGTTTACATTTGAGGCCTTTCTTTGAAGGGCCTCAGAGATGTCAGTGTACATCATCTCCACTGTCCTCCTTTGCCAATCCAATATAGCTCGAACAGAAGCACTCTCAGGTATACCTTCTGGCCACTTTAGGACAACAATGTAGACGATGAATCTCTTTCCTACTTCGATTTGCTAAAATCTTCACCGAAAGCTCCTTCATTATAAGAACATTAATATCCTTATCTCTAATGTCTCCCAAATAAGCTGCCAAGGAAATACTGATTCTCAATGTAAATGAAGTTTGTGGGTCGCCGGATAACATAGATATACGCGTTCTAAATGCTTCGGTTGATGATGTTATTCTTCCCACTCACAAGTCCCATTTTTGTTGCTTCAAGAGGCTTTTCAGGAAAGCAAAATCAATTTGAACAGTTGAACGTTCCATGATTTGTTGCCATTCGAAAACATATTTTGTAAAGGCTGAACCGTGATTTCTTCAAGTTTTCCTAGTGGAATTAAGAACATTTCTCCAACCTATTTTTTCCACCTCTGTTTAAAGTTGTACAAGATATCTCGAGCAACCGGACCTTCCAATTTGCAATGAATATCATGCCATGGCTCCCTTGGACCGCTTTTCCTAATTAAAGAGCCTGGAAAGTTGGGCTGGTGGAAATTATTCTGGTGGATTGTGCCTAGTGTTGCAAACAAGGGATTTTTTTAGTATCATATCTTCCATCAAAAAGATCAATGCCTGTGATAAAGCTCACAATCCTCCTTTGTGATCCTCCGCCGGATATCTCATTGTCCACCACAACTGTTTTCTGATGGTGAGTAAACATTGTGACAATCTCATTTTTCCCTTCATCAGGGTTTCGAGGGCATAAGAAGCAACGCACTTTTGTGTTTCGAAAATATTCTTCTGTTTCTTAATCATGAGTTGTCATCAAACCATCCTTCTTTATCTCTTCAACAGAAGTCCTGTCATCCCAAACAAGCACCAAAACCAAAACACCCTCATTAGCCTTCCTCTTAAGAAGCTGCCCTAGTGTAATGTCATCTTTTCGCCTTCTCGGGTCCCTTATCAACGTTGTTTCAGTGTACACAGACCAGCCAGTTATGTAAATGATAGGAGCATATTTATGCGACTTAATTGGCTTGTTCTCATGCATTTACGTTGTGTTTCTTTAGTTATTTTAGTCCTTTATGCCATTTTCGTGTGTTTCTAGGTTCATATGGCTAAGGAAGCAAAAAGGTGCAATTTGGAGCATTTTGGAGCAAAATTGGGCTTAGAATGGATAGCTTATGCTTGGAGCCAAAGTGTTGGACGGAATTGAAGCCTTGTATGCACTTTAGGACATAAAACAAAGGGCCTAGCCCAATCAAACAAAGCCTTAGAACCAGAAATTCCCATACATACACCAACACATCCCTTGCCGTGTGTTGCAATTGCATTTCCCTTTCATTTCAGCCACATGTATTCATCATTGCAGCCACATTCTTCCATTCCCACCTTAATAATTCACTCTAGCTGTTTTTCACATGCATTCCCAACAAATAAATCAGCCAACACATGCACCCATCACCCAAAACAAAGCTTGCCGTGCACCCCCCCTTGAAATTCCAGCTTTCCACCAAGCAACCTAGCTGTCATTCCACATGCATTCCCCTTGCATTTCCAGCCATTCCATTTCATTATTGCAGCCACCATTCACTCTTTAATCCACATACATTCATCATCATTCACTCTAGTTTTAATTCACATGCAAACACATGCATTTCAAGCACCAAAACACCCTTTGCCGTGCATAACCTTTGCCTTTCCAGCTTTCCCCTTTGCATTTCCAGCTTCACTCTTCATGATGGCAGCCACATTCTCTCCTAGCTGTCATATTCCCTCTTTTAATCATTCATCCACCTATAAATAAGCATCCATTGCAGCCACAAAACATGATTCAATTGTCATTCATTCCCCACTCCATTCCACACCTCCATTCATACACAACACAACACAAACACATCCTGAAAACATCAAAGCCATGCACACCATTCCATTTCCAGCATTCTTCTCTTCTATTTCCACCACTCCCCAACCCTCCAAAACACTATCCAACCATTCCTCCATACAAACACCAATCCAAAACACTATCCTTAGACCTTGTGCCGTAACAAAGAGGAGGAGAAGGGCCTAAACGTTCATACAATTCAAGTTTGAGTTGTTCGAATTTTTAGGTGTTTTCTTTTCCTTGATTTCAATGATTAAATTTACGTATCTTTGTTGTGTACG